AATGCCAAAAATCAGAAAAAGCAGAAAAAAAACCTAAACTGAATTTCTTTGATTATTTATTTTACAAAAACAGAAAAACCTAGAATCAACATTTTTCCACATCAACCCAGATATTACGAATACTAAAAACAGAAATGGTGACTCTGCAGATAATAGATGTTTTACAAGTTGCATTTCTTATTTGTTTCAATGCCTGTCTCTTCGCTGCTCTGTGTAAACACAGCCTGCAGTTCAGCCCAGCTCAGTCAAAAGGTCCCTGAATGTTTGTTGTGTAGCTGTCAGTCACAGCTGAGTCTCCAATGGCTTCACAGTTGTGCTGAGGAACACAACATTTGGGTTTTTTTCAGAATTTGGGTAGAGCAAACAGATGGTTTTTTAAAATGAGCCTGGTAGAGTAAACTGATTTTAAGGAAGTATCTTGATTTTAAGTTAAGATTTGCTTCTGTTTTTTAATGGAACCACACAGCTGAGATGGATGTACAGAACATTGAAAGTGTGATGATTCTTTGAGCTTTTTATTATTTTTTTTCAGTTTCTGGCTCTGACAAATGGTGCAGTTTTGATCATTCTTTAAAAGATAACGTGCCCTTCAAATCTGCAGGCAGGTTTTGGTTCTCACGGGGTTAAACCATTAATGGTGTTGCCGTGGGTGGGAGTTTAAATCCTGTGTGGTTTCTCACGTTTTCACACCTGGACAGTCTCTACCTACAGCAGATGTGGTTGTTGGATTAACTGCTTTAGAAAACTGCAAGAATGCTGAGACTAGAGGCTCTATATGCTTCAAAGCCTGTGAAGCCCACTCCCCTGAAACCTTTGCAATTTCAGAAGTTAGAGCGAAGCATTCAAGAGTTTTCTGTTAAGAAGACGAGAAAATAAAGCAGAGTTTAACTTCTCTCTCAAGCTTCTTCACCGTGTCTCAGTCACATATTGTGAGAACAATTGAGTTCCACACCATGAATTTCTTCAAGGAGACACTATCTGAAAGTTCGACTTTATTTTTTTATTTTTTGCCTGTTTGTGAATGTGAAAGTGTTTTTTGGGTTGAAAGATACATCAGTCAGCCACAATATTAAAACCACCTACGAGGTGTGTCAGAAAAGTTAGAAGGATAAAGATATATTTAAAACCCAAACTACGAGTTTTCCCATTTAGATGACCAGCCAGCACGTCTACAAAGAGATCCTGTGGTATTTGCTTTGTTCAGTGCGCGAGAAGAGGTGAGAGTTGTGGCAGGACAAGTGGTGGCTGCTTCACCATGACAACATGCCTGCTCACAATGCCCTGAGCATCCGACAGTTCCTGGCTGAGAAGAACATCGCCGTGCTGGAGCAACCTCCCGACTCACCCCACCTGGCTCTGTGGGATTTTTTTCCTCTTCCCCAAGCTCAAGGGGGTCATCAAGGGGACCCATTTTGAAGACGTGGACGCATTCAGGATGGCTGGGATGACGGAGCTGTGGAGGATCCTGGAAGAATCCTTCCAGGAGTGCGTGGCGGCAGAGAAGGCTGGGAAAGTGCATTAGACTCCAGGAGGATTACGTCGAAGGGGAAAACTTGTAGTTTGGATTTGAAACATATCTTTTGTGACACCAGTCCTGAAACTTTTTGACACACCTCGTACTTAATATTGTTTACGACCCCCTCCTGCTGTAAAAACCATCTCTTTACCATCCAGCCATGGACATGAGGCCTCTTCTATATCCGAGAGGAATCTAACAAAACACAATCATTTTCTTCTTTCTTTCTCACTCGCTGTAGGTATTGGCATTTATTGTGTTCCTGAGACTATAAACTTCAAGTGGGAGATGACTGATGTGCACCTTGATGCATCCATTTTGTGTGAATGCACATATCCGGCATGTTTCTGAGTGCCAGTCTGTATGGTTGTGTTCGTCCTGGCAGACTGCGTGCAGCCACGGCACCAAAGGATTATTCCACTTGGCCAGACGGACTCGAGCTTGGCACAACAGGCTGAGGATATGTGTCCCCTCTGTGTCCCCCTGGGCTACTAACACTGATAATACTATCTGCAAATGGAAGACTTAATCTGCTGCCACTTGTTGTGTTAATAATATCCATCCATGTTTCTCTTTCTCAGAGTAGTGCAGCGTACAAGTGGGGCTATTATTCATATCTTCAAAGATATTTTGATAGGCGTGAGCATTGCGATCATCAATCAGTAACGTGACTAAATTTCAAAACCCTTTTAGGAGTAAACACACAGATGACCGCTCGCGGGTTCAGACGAGGACATTCAGGAAAATCACAGCTGCAGATGGTGATGACTGTGACTCATCCCCTCTCCCTCTGCCCGTCTTGTCCTCAGCCTCTGCTAAATCCATCCCTCTTTTTTTTCCTCATCCTGCCTGGTTAATGACATCGGCAATTAGTCGTAGCATCACTAGAGATCTACAGTATATTTAATGAGGGATGAGCTTCGGCTGGGAGGGGGGTCTGGGGGCAGTGCTTCCCCACGAGAAATGTTCCAAAGAAACAGCTGTGAAGTGGCTAATGAGTTTTGTGAATGGCAGCGGGCCTGAAATCAATAAATAATTTGACTTCATTGTTGCAAAGAGGATTGTTTTTAAGTATAACAAGTTTGTATGCAAAGTCAATCTATTACATTCAACATAAGTAGTGAAGATGTGCGTTTAATCATTTTAATATGAACACATTGAGGATAATGATAGTGTGATTAGCTCTATAATTCAAAGCGGACAGTAAACTTATTAAAACATAATGAGTCTTTCCTTCCTTTTTTTTTTTTTTTTTTTTTAATATGTACTGATCACAAACCTTATTAGTGACTGTCAGCACCTTGCAAGATTTCTGGTAATTACGTTCCATGTTTAAAGCTGGACTGCGGAACTTTTACATATAAATGAACATCTGTTACATTCAAGCTGAATGACTTCACACAATGCTGATTAAGCCTTTCCGCTGACAGTTTAATCTCTTTGCTTTTTGCAGTATGCTGGAGTTCTAAATCTGGTTTCTGTGGTAGAAAATTCACACACTACATTACATTATTGGTGCAATGGTCACGTTTTACGTCAAGCAGCAATGATTGGTTTGCCTGAACTGAGGAGGCAACTGTAGTACTGAAGACAGAGGAAAAAAGAGTTTCGAATGCACCAGATATGTGTCTGTCTGTATATGTATTTTGGTATTGTGTGTGTGTGGATGTGCATAACGACGTATTGATGCATTGTGAGATGTATTTTAATAGCAGTTCCTATAAGACAAAGTTCCTTTGAGAAAATAATGTTTATCCTATCTTAATCTTAAAGAAACTTTGCATTCATTCTAAAGAAAGAGAGAGTAATTGATAGTGTATGTCATAAGCATGCAATTTGTTTTTGTAATTTCTCTCATTGGCAAAGGGGGAGACAAAAGTTTCACATTGCATTGTTTACATAAACACATTATGTCTAAAGAAAAAAGCCAAAACATTAGTGGTTTGGCATGCTGAATTACATTACCAGGAGTAAACTACCCCCAACCCCCTAATGAGCCAAACGACAAGCTTTCTCAGACAAAATTTAACACCCCTTGTATTAGTGTTTCCATCCAGCAACTATCTCGCTCATGTTGCTTAAATGTGTGTATGATATTTGCATATAAACACAAGCTGTTGTCAATAAGAGTGTCATTGGTTTGTCAGGTTTTTAAACCCATCAACTAAAATAGCACATAATCAAATACTGATCATAGTTTACATAAACAAACATATTGATATTATACGTCAAATAATCACAATTGTCTATCAAACCTGTCTCAGTAATTATTTGTCATTATTATGTGTCACAGTAAGGTCCTGAAATTGGAACATTTAGATGGAATCCATCCAATAAATAAATGATTGGTTATATATGAGCTGGATGAGGCAAACTCCCCACTGTTAAAAACATCTATTTAAGAGAAGTACTTCTCTTGGAGTTCTAGGCAGCATGTATTACTCTTAGGAAATACATTATAAGACAACATAGGAACATACAACTCAGTAGCAGAACCTCAATAATATACTGGTTGGTGACTATTATTGACTGATCTGTCGGTCACAGATGTATAGGAATGTTACATACACTGAAATGAAAAGGTTTATTTCTCCAGAACATAATGCAAAAAAAGATGCTTGAGGTAAAATAAAAATGTTGTCATCACACAGTTTATCAAGTAGAGTGACTCATTTCTTTGCAACACCGTCAGCGCTGTCTGCAGCACATGTAGCAGTGTAGGTGTCACAGCTGAGCAGATGGTGGTGCCAAGAATATCAGCTGCTATATTAGGACTGAACTCTCTAAAAATTAGCGTCATTCCCAAAAATCCAATTTTAGTCAGGCTCTCCTCCATAGTAACCTCAGTTTGTAACTTTACTAAATTAAACCATTCACTGGTGCGGAGCAGCTCAGAATTTACACTCCCTCTTTTTCTTGTGTCTTAAATGAAACTGTCCAGATGTTTTTGGTTTTTTCTTTACTGCCTAGTAAAACGAAAATCGATGTCTAAGAGAGAGTTAATCACAATGAGAGCTAATCACCTTGGACCTCGATGATTCAGTCTGGCCCCTGATATCTCTGGTGACATATTTAGAATATGTTTTTCCAGGAAGTGTCAGTTTTCATCATATCAGCTCTTTGTCTTTATGCGTGGCTGTGCAGCTCACACTGCTGTAGTGGAGTTTCACTTGTTTCCTCATTGTGCGCCTCTGTGCAGCGGCCTTTGCTTGGTCCTAGTGCCAGCCCCTGTTTGTGCACGATGGGATTTTATGTCTGGTTTTTTTTGCAATAGAAGACAGAATAGGTTATTTTTTTGGTGTGCAATGTTAAATCTCAGTCCAAAATTGTTTTTCACATCAATGGCAGTCTAAAGAAAATATTGTCTTTTCAGTATTAAATGTAAAAACCTTATAACCCTCCAACAGAGCAGGTGTAATAGTCACATCTGTTGCATTTAGAGTATGAAATTAAAGCTTTGTCCTTTTTGTCTCTTCTTCCTCAGAGTGTGTGGTGTGTCTGACGCCGTCAGGCTGCCATGGCTCTGGTTCAGGCACTACCTGTGACTGTGAGTGACCACCCCAATCCGGGTCTCGACGTGCAGCAGTGCCGGCCGCTATCATCGTCCCACTCCCCCTCAGGTCCCTGCTCTGGCCCCTGTGGGCCCTGTAGCTCTGAGACAGCCATGGGTTCTGTCAGCAGTCTCATATCAGGCCGGACGTACCAGGAGAGACACTGCAGGGCTGCCAGCGAATTCCCCACCAAGCCACGACGCTCCACACCGGCAACCAGCTGCTTCCGGCTCCAGGATAACACCCTCCGCAGTGGGAGCTCCTTGGAGCAGCTGTTGGTCATCAGCAACCAGTCGCAGCCTCAGGCCCAGGTTCTGCCTCCTCCGCTGCCCACCAAGAGGCAACCGCGACCTGGAAACTCTGCCGGGACAAGTGGAGGTGGAGGTGGAGGTGGAGGTGGAGGTGGAGCGGTTGCTGGAGCAGTAGGTGGCAGCACTAATGGGAACTTTGGGTATGTGAATGATGAGGTGGTGGTTGGAGACTGGAATGAAAACGTGGTGCTGACAGCTGCGAGCCCCTGCAGCGACTCGGAGGACCAAAGGGACAGCAGGACTCTGAACGGCAACATAGGTGGACCTCCACCCAAACTCATTCCAGTGTCCGGACAGCTAGAGAAGGTGAGGAGAAGACTGTAGAAGTGCTACAATAAGTGCTACAATAAATCAGCGAGGCCTGTGTGTTTATCTTGTTACAGATATTTCATGTTTATATGTTAGCTGATGAGTCACACAAACCTACAACACAGAAGTGCGAAAAAGAAAAAGACACTTCAGCCTTAAAACACTTTTATGTTGTACCTGATATTAATATTGAATGTGGCATTTTGGCCAATAGGGCAATGTAGAAAGGAGAAACACTACCTTACTGGAAATCTTTAAGTGCCTTTCAGCACGACACTGAATCCCCACCAGCGCTGTAAGTGCCGTTGTCTAGCTGACCGTGACCTCTGTCCTATTTATAGGACAATGTCTTCTTCAATTACAGCTCAAGATTACATGCTTGGACATTAAATATCATAGAGAGGTCACTTTTTTTGTAATCTACTCTCCCTGGAATACAAACTATACTCATGAAACACTAAAGCAGACACAAGCATTTCTGCAGCCTGCGTGGACATGTTTTACAGCAGATTACCTCAGCTGTCTAATTGGCTATTTATTTCCATCGATCCAGCGGGAAGCTTAATCACTGGCCTGACAGACTCAGATGGATCATTTGACAGCTACTCACCTTGCAGACACATCATGATCAATGTCAGAGCTCACTTACATCCAGTGACGTATTCGGCGAACCCTGAGGAAGATCATTAAGAAAATGCTTACAGAACAGAAGAAGCTTTCACGCCCACTGTCTTTGCCTCGTCTCTTCCTCCACCCTCCCTTTTGTTTCTTTGCCCTTTAATCAGATTTCCCCTGTCCTCTCCTCTGTCTCCCTGTCTAGCCCATCTCTCTATGTTAGATGATAGGAATATCATTAAGAAAATTGCTTAATGAAGCCCATGAATATCAATTAAATCAATTCAAACTAATCGGAGCCTGGTGGGGTGACCTGCCAGCATATCACTCACCCCTTTCTAATGAATTTTATTCAGCCGTTGCTAATGAGCATAGCTTAACTTTCATTAGTCACCATTTCTGTTTTTTTTTATACTTTCAGAACATGGAGAAAGTGTTGATCCGTCCGACGGCGTTCAAACCTGTTGTTCCCAAGAATCGCCACTCTGTGCAGTACCTGTCCCCGCGGCCTGGGGGCAGCAGTCTGTCAGAGAGCCAGGCCAGCCTCAACCTGCTGCTGCCCCTCGGAGGGTCCAGCAGTGCCAACGGCACAAATGGGAACGGTGGAAGCAGCAGTTCCAGCTCTGAAGGGAAGCGTAACTCCTACAGTGGAGGTCGCAATGCTCGGAGCAGCCAGTCCTGCTCCATGTCAGATTCAGGGAGGAACTCCCTCTCCAGCCTCCCTACTCACAGCAGCACGGGCTACAGTTTGGCCCCCAGTGAGGGCTCCAGCTCCGGGTCAGGCTCTGGGGGCCAGATGGAGCCTGTGCCGGGCCTGGGCCGAAACACTTCAGGTGGAAGTGGGAGCCATGGTCACAGTAACTCAGACAGTGGACGTTCCTCGTCCAGCAAGAGCACAGGCTCGGGGTCGCTAAGTGGGCGCGGGCAGCCCCTGTCGGACAGCGGGTCCTGTGGACACTCACCGCCACCTGTGGAGGGCTATGAGGCGGTGGTGAGGGAGCTGGAGGAGAAGCTGAGGGAACGAGACCTGGAGCTCCAGCAGCTCCGAGAAAATCTGGATGAGAATGAAGCTGCCATCTGCCAGGTGAGCCAAGGTCACCTCAACATATGGACAAAGCTTCTTTCAAAATGCCAAATTAAACACACACCAGGACACGAGGATCTACACATGTATTAGTACTTCAATCTGAACAAAGTCTGGTGCTGACTATTGGGCAGTTAAAACTTAATGTGACGTCAGTACAGATGGAAAAACTCATCTCTGACCTCTGTGTTTACTTGTGAAAGGTGTATGAAGAGAAGCAGCGTCGCTGTGAGAGAGAGATGGAGGAGCTGAGACAGAACTGTGCCACTAAGATGAAGCAGGCCTCTCAGAAGGCTCAGAGAGCACAGCAGGTGCTACAGCTGCAGGTATACTAAGTACTTAAACACCTTTTATGTGGGGGGAAAAAGGAGAAAAAATAGTCAACAAGTGTAGTATTTTGTTTTGACCAGTCATTTTTAGGAGCTGATGTTCCATTTTTTTTCTTGCAATGAATCCCAACCCTTCTTCAAACGTGCAGATCTTTTGTTTCCAGTGATTATTAATGTTGTCTTATGCTTTAGTGATGAGTCTACAGTTTCTCTCTTTCAGCATGTGTGACCTGTTTTAGATTGGCTTATCTATTCTAGAATTTAAAATAGTTTGAAACTGTATATCTTTCCCATCAGGTATTTCAACTACAGCAAGAAAAGAAGAAGCTGCAGGAGGATTTCTCCTCTCTGCTGCAGGACAGAGAGACGCTGGAAAGGAGGTGTGCTACCATCCAGAGGGAGCAGACCCAGCTGGGGCCACGTTTAGAGGAGACAAAGTGGGAGGTGAGTGAGAGTCAGACAGTGGAGAGGTGTTAGATCAGAGGCAACATAGTGGTCGAAGGTACCGAAAATGAACTGCAATGTTGCTGTTTGAGTCTGGAAGTGGACCTTTGCTGCATGTTGTTCCAGATGCAGGCGTTCTATCATTTTCTGCTCTACTCTCTATGGTTTACTCACTATTAAAAGCCTAAAATGCCCCCAAAATAAAGCTGACACTTACTAGTTTAAATTATCCTAGTAGGCTTATAGGCTTGGAAGAATTTGAGGTTTGCTTTTAGGGAGCAAGCAAATCCAAAACTGTCAGTCTGTAATCTGCCACAAGAGACAATCGGTTCTGTACTTTCAACGTTCCCACCTTTCTCTTAACTCCTTTTCCGTTGTGCTTCAGGTGTGTCAGAAGTCAGGAGAGATCTCCCTCCTGAAGCAGCAGCTGAAGGAGATTCAGTCGGAGCTCAGCCAGAAGGCAGGAGACATCGTGGTCCTGAAGGCCCAGCTGAGAGAAGCTCGTTCTGAGCTGCAAGCGAGCCAGGTCCGATCCCAGGAGGCCCAGACGGCCCTGCGGACGCGATCTCTGGAGCTGGAAGTCTGCGAGAATGAACTCCAGAGGCGCAAGAGTGAAGCTGAGCTGCTCCGGGAGAAAGTGGGACGATTGGAAGAGGAGTCAGCTCGGCTCCGCGACACTCTGTCCGGTCACGGTGGACCCTCTCTACCTGGAACTATGAAGGGGCAGTGCATGAGCCTCTCCCTGCAGCAGGGCAGAGGCATGGCAGGAAGGGGCGGTCCGAGCCCCTCTGTGTACCGCGATGGAGAGGAGACTCATCTGGTCTGGGGAGGAGAGAGCGACGAAGCCAAGGCACAGAGGCAGAATGCAGAAACATTGCTGGGCCTCAGGCAACAAGTACATGTTTTTTTTTTGCACCTTTTCCAGGCATCAGTAACTAAACTGAAACAGTGTTGTGGTGGAAAATAATTTTGAAGTACATTTACATAGCTAATGTATTTAAGTGCACTGTATGGGGTATTTTGACGATCATGCGTTTGTACATTGACCTTGTGATTTTTAAAGGGATAGCTTGGTTTCGTTGACATGGAGCTGTATGAGGTACTTATGGAGAGGATGTGTATTAACTCCATTTTTTAAAGGGGCAGGAAGGAGTAAAGTAAACAATGAACTGCTGTGAATAGGGACATTAAAAAAAAAACTAAAAAACATCCAACCAAAAAAAAAAAATCAATGTGACTTTAGATGCACATTATGTTTAGAATTTCTCTATCTATCTATTATCTTGCAATCAGACAGCACTTTTGGATTGGAAACTAAAGCCATTTTCTTGATCTAATATCTCCTCAAAGCCACCAGACTCCATTGACATAAACAGCAATTTTACCTCACAAAGCTTGGGAGTGGCTGGCTTACTGCTACCATAATCAGATGGTTTGTTTGTGCTATTGTGTGACTTTGTTGTTTCTGTATACATTCGAATCAGAATTACCATGTCAAAACAAAAACAGAGTCATTCAGCGGTCCAACAGCTGCTCCAGTGTTCTACAAGGTAAAATTGCTGTTTTTGTCAGTGGAGTCTGGTCGCTTTGAAGAAAGGGATAAAACTGTTTTAGTTGCCAGTCTGAAAGGGCTCACTGACAGAGAGGTAAAGCGGTAAAAACACTCTAAATATAGCATACACTTAAACTGATATATGTTTTGATGCTGTCACTGATCACAGCATTTAATTGTTTAGCCTCCATGCTGCTACTTCTGGGTGCACACTGACCGTGATCTACTGTAGGTAATATACGGATGGATAAAAACCTCACAGAACCCCACTTCAAAGACCATGAACTAGCCTTTTAATGTATGTACACACTGATGAGTTTGTATTTTGCGCTGTCTATTATGCATGTAGTAGTTTTCTGTAGTTAAAAGGCCCATTAGCTTTGGAATATAAGAATTTTAATGAAGGAAGGTCAGTGAAGTTTACAGTGGGGTATTTTTACAATGTGGTAATGCTACTTTAACTGATCTAAAGGAGCTAAACTCAGTTTTTTTTTCTTGTTATTCCAGGTGGATAGGCTGAAGGCTGAGCTTATGTATGAGAGGAGGACCAGTGAGGAGCAACTGTCTCGATTTGAAGACGAGAGGAGGATTTGGCATGAGGAGAAAGAAAAGGTATAAAAAACTTCTTGGTGAATGACTTAATCTTTGTCGTCTTCATTCAGTGTGACGCACATCAAGATATTTTTTCAAGCTTTCTTTGTGCCTCTTTACCGCTTAACTTACATGCCATTTCTTCCTCTACCCAGGTAATCCGCTACCAGAAGCAGCTGCAGCAGAACTACATCCAAATGTACCGTCGCAACCGCGACCTCGAGCGGGTGATGAGGGAGCTGAGTCTGGAGCTGGAGAACAGGGACATGGAGGACTATGAGGTTCGCAGTGGCAGCAATGACATCCACTTTGAGGAAATCACTGCCACAGAAATCTAATCTCACACACACACGCTTACAGTAATATGTGCACAGAAACATGGAAGCACGACTCACAAAAGACTCTGAAGATGTAAACCAAACATTGAACTCTGGGCCAAATACTGCACTATCTCCAACATGGCTTTACCTGGACCATTGAGCGAGCATTCAACCACTCGTCACTGTCAAAAGGGAGATCTCCCAAAGGTGCATTCTTACTTCCTGCTAATGGAGATGCACTCCAATAAATCCTTATAAGGTGCCTCCCACGGCGCTTTTAAGGGGGTTTTATTCCACTACAAAGCCAGCACAAAGACTTCTTTCCTTCTGTGGGAGCAAAAGCAGTGAAAAAACGTTTCTTTCTCAGACCACGTTCGAATCAGGGTATTGAAAATCGATGGGAATTTAAAGCAAAAAATGTTACTACACACGGAACAATCTGGTCGACGACTTTCTTGGTAGCACACGATGTTAAACACCCGGCCACCAGCATGCACGGAATCATGCATCAGGATCGCAGTTCAATCAATCACCACCACCGCTGGCTATTAATGACGACCGAGTCACCCGTCCAAACTGTGCTCATTGGCGACACAAACAACCACAGCACCGCTTTTAACATCTGCTGTTGGCGTTTTATGGTGTTCGCAGTATCAACCATTGTTTTTACAAATGATAAAAGGTTGAAATATTTTGTTCAGTGGGGTCCATTTGAAAAGGAATGTATTGTGGCTTATCGCTACAGAGGAATGCAGTGTAAATGGTCATAATCTGCAATGAGGAACACAGTGTTATTTTTGCACAACTTTCCTGCTGTCGTGGGATTTCTTGGGATCATTTTGGGATACAGCAGTTTTCTCCGTGAGGCAAATCAACTTAAACAAACCAGTTTTAGCGTGCAGCTCTTGGTTTGCTTACACGTGGACATCCTCTTCTGTCATTTCTCCAAAACCACCGAGGACACACAGACCAAACGCTCAGAGGAAATGCTTTATTTGAACTCTGCTCATGTTTTCTAGACCACCAACAGTCACGCCGTTGCTCTCCATCAAGACGGAGCAGTGAGCTCTTTACATAAACATTTATATTTTACAATTAGCACTAGGAAGCAGACCGTAGCATGGCACCAGATTTCACTGTCTTTTTCTGGCTTCATCTTTCCGTCTCCTCTCTCTCTCTCTCTTTCTTCTTTTCTTCTTACTCAACTATTTTTATAACGGCGAAAAGCACCTCGGCGGATGGTATCAGGAAACTAAAAATAGAGCATATTACAGTTCGGTCGTGACGTCACAGAGATTTAAGCCAGTGTTTTAACTGTAGGCATGCTTATTCAGAGTTTCCGTTTATTCCCCTTCACTCCCATTAGTACTCTTTATTTAGCTCTTGGCGATCCGAAGCCAAATACCACTTTTTAAAAATCTTCACTGACTGCTATACAGGTAGTGAGACTGGCATGTCTGCATGTCTTCGTTATATGAGATTTCAGAGGAAGCTGGTGCAGGTCAGGTTGAGATGAGAGTTTGCAGATGCAGTAGCTCCAGCGCTGAATGTCCTCAAGGCAGGTCTGCTTTTAAAGGCCCCGAAATATAAACCCGGCGAGGAGCATGTTAACGTTTGAAGCTGTATGTTGCTCTGCTCTGTTTTCTCACAGTATATGCAGGGCTGTGTATAACACTGAGCATGGGGCTGCTGAGAACTTTTATTTTGCAAAGAGTCTATATGGAGGAATAATAGTTAAATGGAAATCTATATAATGGAGGAGATGTTGTATATTTTTTTATATATATAGCACCCGAAGATATTTTGTTGTAGTACTGGTATAAGTGTGGGTTAATGTATATCGCATACCAATGTTTCAAATGACGGATCAATTACAAATGGAGGCGGCAGCGTAGAAGGAGTGCACCTAATACTGTAATGCATGACAATTTAATGTTTACATTATATAATCTGTGTGGAAAACATTCTAATGACCAAACTTTTGCAAGTGATAAAACCGAGGGGAGCTTTTATTTCAGGCTCATTTTCAGCCTGTTGTCTCTCCATTTCGATTGATCTTTCACTTGACTATCAGTATCATATTATCACACCGGTTCATGTCGTCATCGTCGGGTTTTGTCGTTCATTTATAAACGCATGTCATTTTGAGAGACTTCTTCGTTATAAGCTGAGGTCGGATCGGATGCAAGCCGAGGAGGCGTTATGTTTCCTATACTTGGAAATTCAGTCGAATTTGATCAGTACATTTGATCGGGCTATATTTTGCGTGACGTTACCACATTCACTGTGGTTTTCAGAGATTATTAAAAGTCTGCACTGTGCTTCAAATGTTAAAGCAAAGCCATGGCAAGTGACTTTGAAAGGAACAAGCTGTGTTTCTCCAACCACATTCACTTTGTTAACCAGACCTAGACTGTTACTTACTCACCCACAGGTACATATTACCAACAAGCACAGGTGTTGCAAAACAAACGGACTCACTCACTACAAAAGTACTGTGTGCATCTTGGACTTTCATTGTTCTTCCTCATATCTCAGTTCTTTTCATCGTCACATAACCGTTTTCTGTGTAAATATGTAAAACACTAAATAGTATAACAGAGTGACATTGTCTTTTATTTAGACAAAATATCTATTTCAAATGTAGCCACTGTGACTAGACCAAAGCAACGTAACACATTTCTTTTTTTCATTTTTTGTGGCATTTTTTTTCATCCTTTTGTGCTCATTTTTTTGTGTGTGTTTGCTTACGTTGTGTCTTCATTAATTCATAAAGTATGTAGTTGTCTATGTATATTTTTATGTGTACATTTCTTGTACAAATGACTGTGTTTTTAATTAAAGAACAAGTTGTCACACCTTAAAGTGATTGTTTATTCAATTGCTTTTTTTCATAAAGTGTGAGCAGAGTATGCTGAATGTGCAGATTTTTTGTGTGTTGAAGTCAAATATATGATGCACTTTGTAATAACTCAAAGGCACACACACTCAGTTTGGTTTTTTAAAATTTAATAGCATGCCAGAATATAAACAGTTCACCTTGAGCCTTTCTACGGCTTATTAAAACCAAGTTTGAGTAACATTTTTCGTAGTTTTTTTTTTTCCCCCACTGGCCGTCTGCTAAAGTAAGGCACTATGCACGCTACGTTCTCCTGCCCATATCTCCTCTACCCCCACTTTGATTTAAACTGTGCCACCGGCCTCCATGTCCTGCATTTCTCATTGACATGTTTTTCCAACTCCTCCACATGTCTGCATAAGCTCCATCCACAGCATGGTGTAATTAAGCCTCTAAAGTGGCGGATGGCTCCAGAGCGCAAGCACTTCTGCCAGTAAAACACAGCACAAAAATACTGAGCAGCAATTTGGAATAATCCCCCCAGACATCCTCTAAACCCAAACTATCAGTTTTGACATAATACAGGGGTTTAATCTGGGTATAAATCTATAAATCTCATAACACAAGCTGGGGTAATCTCCCTCTGGCAGGCATGCAGGGCTGCTGGACTGAGATGCTCCAAGTGAAAAGTGCAGACCACTGGCTCCACAATCGGAGGTCACGGCAAGGTTGCCACATGTTGAACAGTGGCACAATTCAACCAAGGACCAGTTCATGAATCGCATCTTATCATAAGACACCTTTTAGAAAACAACAGTTACTGCAAGTTGAGTTGATGTGCAACGTATGCATTTAGTATAACGTTTGCTAAAAACACTACAAATTTTATAAAAGTCATACACTTGCAACATTTGGGCTTACATTACATAGCAAAAAATATTTATGACAATCTCTATTTTGATAAATATGCTGCTGAATCAGATCTAAAAAACAGTCCCAAGCTTTGTTTCTGACATATTTTCTCGCATGTTTTATCAAAACTCTTGCCTTTGATCCGCTCCACTGTTACTGGAGCTCTACCCGTCCCAAGTTTCCTCTTCTCAGGGTGAATCCTGTACTTTATTCAGTCCCACAGGAGCTGCAGGTTTTGTTGTCCTTCATGCTTGAGCAGCAGTCTGGCTGTGAGGCACACAAAGTTTAGTCAGCAGGTCTCCTGGGGCTGGTGGGCGTGGTATGGACCTTTGGGACCTTGACCACAAAAACCATCGGGTCTTTGGCCTTGTTGCTGAACGAACGGCGAATTACATCCACGGCATGCTGATGAGTTGCTCCCTGCAGACTTTCTCCGTCCACGGAGAGCAGCTCATATCCCGCCTGCAGATGCACACACAAAAGTATAAGTTAAACATAAAAAAACACAAGGAAAAAAATACTCATATTTCATGGCTATTAATATCTTTGCATGCTCTTCTCCTTCTCTTTGTTTCTTTTTCTGCAGCAGTCTGTCTTTTTCCAAAGCAACATATAGGACATTTTTCATAAATCTGCAGTGATTGTGTCCCTTAGTGAGGATGTAATTTATGCCAGAGAGAATTGGGGCTCTCCTGTTACTTTAATATATTCACACTGAAGGCTGTCACTAGTGCACACATAAAGTTTCCCCTTCAGCACAAGGTTATTGAGAAAAGAACATACATTGAGACAACCACACGCACACAAACACAGTTAGGACCATTTGCTCGCTGTTTCCTGCAGGATGCGAGCACAGCCTGGCAAATCTTTGGAGCCCCGAGGAGAGGAACTTCCCCTGATGTCATGAGCATTTGCTGAGGATGCACCTGCCTAATGTGTTCAACCTCAGTGAAGGTTAGCAACACACAAGGCCCACAGCCATTGTTGTATCTCCACCAATCACGTCTTTTTTCCTTTCCCTTTTCCTTTCCAGTCATTAGACACAAATAGATCATTTTCCCCTCCATTCTGCACCCACCTGTTCTTTTTATTGTGCTCCAAACGTATGTGGCTCATATAGGAAGCGGTTAGATCAGTGCTGCCCTGTTTGTCCTGACAGGTTTTCTTGCGGCTCACCAGATAGTCTGATGTCCACCAATAACCTTACAGCCTTTCTGTGCGAACAGCATCAAAAGATTTAGATCCATTTAACCAAAGAGGAGATTAAAAAGTGCTTTTTCATTTTCGAAAAGTAATTTATCTGAATTAAATAGATCACAACCTAATCTGCCCCATCCTCTTTACAGCCATTTATGGAGCGCATTTATGAGGTTCCCTCTTTTCTAGCCAATGGACATCATGGTCCAAAAATAACATGGCTTGTAAAAAATTACGACTGCTTGCGTGGAAGGATCTGTGGTCAAATAAATTCAGCTACAATATTTAGAGAGTAGACATATTGTCTCTCTGTGTTATTTATTATAAAATAGATTTCAATGGTCCATCTCATTTTGCCAAAGTTATAAATAAATCTACTAAAAACATTCACTATCCAGACAAACTGACAGTTGTTCTTCTCAGGTTTTGACATACTGGTCTCTAAAACATTTGTTGAAACTCAAATATTGTTTGTCAAGTGTTCAATAAAAGTAGTAGTTTGTATGCATGTAAACTTTTGTTAGTTTGCACGAATAAAGACATACAGCTGACGGGAGTGTCAGTAGTTTTTCAGATATTATTTCAGCTGCTCTACTAGGCTTTCTTAGACATGACTCGTGTCCACATTTCCGCTGTTAAAGGCAAATGTCTACTGAACAGGAAAGTATGCACACGTGAACACGAACACACACAAAGCAACATTCTTCAATCGTGTTATTCTAGGGAGACAGGATGCATGTTAACACTAAGCTGCCCTGCTCACTTCCCCCCGCAGAGCAGTGGAAGATAGCGCTGAGCCTTGGAGCTGATATGTTCAAGCCGACATGTCTTGTTGTGAGGTGTGAGGTAGAGACAATAGATAGGACTGGCGTGCTGGCAAGGGGCCATACATCTGTGTCTGAGCCTTCCAACCAACAACTTCTCTGTTTTTGCTCATCATGTTCGGGGACAAAAGAAAGGCAATGCCAGTATGCTGGTATCTTGTTTCAATCCACCACTTTGGTCCAGACTGAGAGATTGACAATTATTAGATGGATTACAATGACATTTGGTACGGTCATTCAAGGACCCTAAAGGAAAAATACTCTTGACCTTGGTGATCTCCTGACTTTTCCTCATGAGATTGACATTTGGGGTCTTTGATAAAATGTAAAATAGAGCAACTATTGGGTGGATTGCCATGAAATTCCCTACAGATATTCATGTACTCCTCAGGATGAATTGTATTTACTTTGGTGATTCTCTGAAGGTCCAATCTAAAGTTTAATTTGTCCAAAACTTTGGGATTAAACTTTTGGACTAAAACCAAAACTACATCCTGAAGGCATAACCATATCTGCTCTCCTGTATCGTCCTGTACTGCTGATTAGCAAATGTTTGTATTGTCATTATAAGCATGTACACCAGTCATCCACAACATTAAAACTACAGAAGGCTGAAGTGAATAACATCAATCATGTTACAATGCAACGCTCTGCTGGGTCCTGACATTCATGTGGATGTTACCTTGATATGCAGCTATCACCTACCTAAACATCATGGCAGACCAAACACCCCCTAAAGAGCTCCTATGTCCACAGCTCTATGAGTTGCTTTGGCAGCACAAGGTGGACCTATATAATATTAGGCAGGTGGTTTTAATGTTGCAGCAGATCAGAGTACTAGCACACTAATGTTATAATTTCTCAAAGCACCACTTGTACAATGTGCAACCTCACAGAGCTGCAAACACGGCAGTAAACTTTTACTCTGTCTCTCTTTGCCAGGTTCTGTTTTTTTCACACCATCTTTGCCATTCCTGACATTTTTTTCTTTATACTCATCTTGTTCTAAGATTGGGTGCATAGCTTGTGCCTGCTTGTGGTGTTTTTGTCAAAGAGGGAGCAGGTATCTGTATGCAGAGAGGGAGCATCAGAGGGAAGCTGTTCAAATTAGAAATACTGAGGAGATACTGGATCTCCCTGATGTTTGACACTCTAATCAGTCATTAGACCTGAGTAGTGGTTGTCATTTGATTACCTGCAGTTAGGAAACACAAATTACAAATGGGCCCACATGTATAGATTGGTAACCTACTATAGCAGGTGCACACTCTGTTTTAGACACTTCCAACCAAGACTTAACACACACACACACACACATCTTTAATCCATCTGCTGTTTTACCACTGCATCTTCGACAAGTGCTGCGTAAAACATCCTCCTGTGGTTAACTAGTGTTTGTGAGTGTTCGTGGATCATGTGTGTTTAAGTGAACCAGGCCAAGATTACCACCGAATGTTAAGTTACTGTGCAGGCAATATATTACCAATACATTAGCAGAACAGCACCAGTGTACCTCATCAATAATGGAGGCGACGGGCTACTTGAGATGGCTCCCCACTCATCTCCTCTCCACTCCTCATTGCACACCTTCAGCCTCTCCGTCATAGACATGCTTACTAATAGCAACAACAGCTCATAACCACTGGACAGAGCTCTGACCGCTACTTACAATTCACAAAAACAGGATGGGACTCTGATGTACTTTAAAATCAGGGAGTTTTACAGCTCATTGTTAATATTTGTAGTAGAAAAATCTATGTTAAGTTTGCCACCTTTATCTCATCATGAATTTTCTTTCGCCACTGAACTGAACCCAGCTGGTAAAACATTGTGGTGTTTCAGATGATCACCTTCAGAGCCTCATTTGTAGATGCTGCTCCTCCTGGGAAGATTTTCTCAATCTTTATCATGGGCTGGACCCTGGATTCCATACCTCCAGAGATACTAATACCTGTAAACACACAGAGAATTAAAAAAAGAATAAACTAATGCATTGCTTGACAGAACCAGACTCCTGTTTACGAACAACTTTCACACTGTATATCATCCCTTTAGTCTTGTTTAGCGTAATCATTTAAGCATTTAACTCTTTCAAATGCCTTTTGGTTTGTGGTGCCCTGACCTCTACTGGTGGTGTATTGGACAGTCATTTAGCAGCTTGCTGTCCACCCACAAGCATATTTAACAAACAATTTTAGTGAGAAAATCTTGAAATACATTCTTAAATCAAAAAGCTAAATATGTGTGTGTTTGTGTATTGTTTTTACCTAGTGACTGCTTGGCTTTGGAGATGGTCAAAGTAGTGATTTCATACTCCTCAGGTGGTAGAGTTGCTCTTCTTTTCACTCCATGACCATTTAGTGAATGTCCATTCACATGCTGACCGCTACCTCTGCTCGTGCTGTTCGGGCTCCTCTCTCTCTGGGGATCAAACACATCCGCCAGAGGAGTTCTGCTTCTCCGCTGCGAAGGAACGCGTACGCTGACCTCCGTGTAGCCCTCCTGCCTGCTCAGTCTGCCATCCATGCTGTCAGGACTTCCCTCCCGCCTCCCTCTCCCGTGGCCATTCCTCACGGGCGACCTCCCTCGTTCAGGAGCCACATCTCCTCGGTCAGACACGGACAACAAGGAGACATTGTCGTACCGCGACTCCCCATTCTCTCTCCTGTTTGGGGAGCGATGAGGTTGGCGCCCACGCTGGGTGGTGCTGTGTGGCGATTCGGGGAAGAGGAAGCTGTGAGTGGGCAAGGGGCTCGGGGAACGGGAGCGCAGAGTGGAGGAGGCATAGCTGTCCACAGGTACATCCAGCAAAGGGGTGAAGGCACGAGATGGCGACAGGTGGCCTGACTGGTGGCCAGACAAACGAAGTCTCTCCAACTCCTCGAACAGCTGGCGCTCCCGCAGCGTGTCATGGACCGGCTGGAGGTGGAATCCACCCCTGTAGTCTGGACAAATATAAACAGTAACAGTAAGATCGCTTTTAATACTGCTGGTGGTAGACAGTGAAAGTAGAAGTTTAATTCAGCTGAGAGCATAAACACAGTGATGTGATGAGTACTTCAACAGATGGAGGGATGGAGTTTTATTCTATGTGTTACCATTTTTCAAAACCTGCACCCAGGAACTGCATTACCCACAATACAACTCAACCTCCAACGCTTATGGTCAAAGATTTGGGTTTGCTAAACTAGCAGGACTCAATATAACCTCAAGCTGACATAAGAAGTGGGATACAGAAAAGTGACCCTCGATGGCGTCTGTCGGCTTCCTTCTGCTTTTATAATGTTGACCTTTTGACCCCTGACCTGTGACCTTAGAAAGTGAGATGGCGACAGTCAAAGTGAGACAGTACTGATTGTGTCCCAATGGCTCTTGAATGAGGTAAACGCTCAAAGCATCCTTGTATTGTTGAAGTGTCACACCTGCCAGTGCAGCACGTCTCAGTCCTTTCTGTGGATCACAGAGATGTAACACAAGCCTCTGCTTCAGCGCAGGCACAGGAAACCTGAGCTATATACTGCATGCTGCTGCTGCTGTGTGTGTGTGCGAGTGTTTTATATGAGGTTGGGAGATGTGTGAATGGTCTGCCAGCGACAGGATATGGACTGTGCATGCAGGTGTTTCAGTTTGATGACATATATATATGAGATGAGGCAGGAAAGTTGTAACGTGAGGGTGGAAAAGTAGAGACAAAAGGTGAGAGGTTTAAGCCCCAATGTATCTCATATTCCTGTGAAATAAGAGGAAAGCCATTAACCAGACAGATAGAGAGAGTTAGAAGAAAGAGTTGAGGTCAGGAAAGAGAGAAAAGGTGAGAGGAAGCCCTTGTACCTGGGATTGGGGTGATGAGGTGACGGCGAGGAGTTCCACTACGAGGGGAGCGAAGAGCTGGAGATCGCACTGAAAAGAAATAATCAACTAAAGATATCACTGATTTTCCATAAATGATTTTTTACCTGTTTGCTTTCTATATTGCTTCCTCTGTTGTATCCTGCAATAAGACATTGTGTGTTTGGGAAAAAAGGTACATTCTTCTGCTTACGAGAGCGACTCTTGAGAACATCGTACGCCTCCAGCTCAAAAGGCATGACCATGCTGTCAAAGCGACCCAACTCGGTAGTTGGTATCAGCATTCTGCAGAGGATATAAAGAGTGAGTCAGATGTATTCATATACCAACTCACACATTCAGTATATTTATGTATATATACTATACAGGTTGCACCTTATTTCTCTGAGAAGCAGCAGTTTCTCGGGCCTGTCCAAGATGGCCAGAAGTGGACGCACTAAATCCTCGATCACATTGTCCGACAAAAACTGGAGGAAAGATTTGATTTTTGCACAAATTAGAGGAGAAGAATAAAAAGAACAAGCCAGTGTGGTTGTCTAAATCGGCAGGTCTCCACTGATTTTAAACACGAAAGTCAGTTTACTCTTCAGAAGGAGCTCTGATCAGCTCATCTGAATATTTATGTATGTCTTCTGTAGATCTGGATATGAGGTTCAAAAGACTAGAATCTTCTCAGTTTGTGTCTTAGACTTTTAACAGTATGATGTTTGAGAAAATACACTGTCCAGGTGTGTAATAGGAAATGTAGGATCCTTTTTTTTTTTTTTTTTAGCTTGGCACACACTTTAGACTAAACGTCACAATGTGTTCCAGACAACAGTGCATTTCCACGATTGGGACTTGGACTGTCTTCTGATATGTTACATGTACATTAAATATTCACCTATCCAGGAACACCCCCACACTCTGCTGTTTTCAGTCGCTGGTGTTTAATTACTGTATTAACAGGTAAGTCACACTGTGCTCTAAGTAGACCTGAGAAGCAAAAGGCTGGCCAAGAAGCTCATTGAAAGGTGTGCTGAGAAAGACAAAAAGGATCCAATGATGGCTGTTATTTGATCCTAATCATAAATGACAGGCCAAATCCATCTTTTGTCACAGCTGCTACCAGACACATCTATCACTAAAGGACACTGAGAAACACAGGGAGCAATACCACACACTTAAGTCTGCAGGGAGTCCAGCTGACGTTCATTCGCTGAGAAACAAAGCACACAGAGGAGAGCGTCTCTGAGGTGTTAGAGATATTAATTTCACATCATGAACTCACCCGCCGACAGTGTCTCATCACAGCAGCCACCTCGTCCTGGCCAAGCAGCTTCTTTGCCATGTCCTCCACGTGCTGCAGGGTCTCGAGTCGGGGCAGTGGGCTGCCGGCACGGGACTCCCTCGGGGAGGTCAGCAGCTGGAACGGACGACCCCGGTCCTTATCTAAGGAATTAAGGTGATGAATGATGTAATATGGGAACAGAAGAATCTACAGATGGCATGAAACTTGTTGCCGGTGGCATGAAGTATTTGCTGCAAAGGTTATTTTTGAAGCATGTGCCAATGACAGGACCATTGCAAATGAAAACTTTAACTTCAGTTGCAAAATCTATGCAGGAAATCTGGTGCAAAATATGCTTTCTTCTTTCAACACAACTGAGGATTTTTCAAAATTATCATCAGGAAGAACTCATTACAAATAAATCACATTTTACTGAAGATCTAGCTCTAAAATCGAAATATAACAAAGAAAAAAAACATGAAATGGACTAGTAAATCCTATGATTTAAGCAGAGATCTTTAACTTTTGGTTAAATTCTTCTTCTGATATGATTCTACATCGTTGCTGTTGTTCACTATATTTGTAATTTTGGGTTCTAACACACAGCAATAGACCATCTTGTCATGTCTCGTACCAGGTGTTAGGTTTTATTTAGTTTTTTGTCTTGTATTTGTGTCGTCTCGTGGCTTTTATTTTGAAACCTCTTTGCCCTCGTGTTTCAGGACGCTTGCCCTCTCCCCGGTGTTTCCTGTGTCTGATTGTCTACCCAGCCCTGATTGTCTCCACCTGTTCCTCATTACCTTGTGTGTGTGTATATATAGTCTGCGTCTCCCTTTGTCCTGTGCCAGTTCGTCTTGTTATTGAGTCAAGCTTCACGTTCTAGCCCTCTTCATGTCCCTTGTGGAAACTACCTTCAGGTTTTGTATTTTGTTTGCTACTTTGTATTCAGCCTCTTTCCTAATCAAGTGTTTGAGTTGTTACTTTGTTTAGAAAGATTAAGTTTTTCCTCATTGAGTGATTTTTAGTTTGTATTTCCTCAATTGAGTGAATTTTTGGTTCTTTATTCTCCTTGTTAGAGTGACGCTTTGAGTTTAGGTTTTTTATTGTTGAATGATATTTCTGTTGATACTTTTGTAAATCAGTTTGAGAACGTTTTTGGAGTCGTGGATTTGGGTTCGCTTTTTTGTGGTCTTGTCACATCTTAGACCATCTCTCATACATTACAGTTTCTGCTGCTGCACTCTTGCTTGTTTTGAAAAGAAACTAAATGAATTCACGACATTAAAAAATCATGCAATACCGTATGTGCCAAAATCTTTCTAGCAGAGCTGTGCAAAGCTGAATCCTCCCACATCTATGGCTGATATTTAGACCATTTCGTTCTGTTGCACCACTGATTGTCCATGACTGAGGCAAACTCATGAACCTCCAGTAATGAGCGTGAGATTCTCCAGTGAGACAAAATGCTAATTCACCCCTAACCTGAGGCTACATTTTTGCTTTGTTGGATGCAGAAAATGAAATGAACAAAACCGTCTTGTGACCGCGCTCTCACCTTTGTCAGCATGGCGAGACGGTGACTTCGAGCGACTCTTCTCTTTACGGTCTTTTTTGAATAACAAGTTGACAAAGGTTTTGGAGCGCTGCAGGCTGGTTTTACCCTCTGTGGGGCTCTTCTTACTCTGTTGCTTCTTCTTCTGTCTGTCCTCTACAGGTGGAAAAACAAAACAAGAGAAAAAAATGTCTCTCTAAAGAAACAGAGTATGTGGTCAATGAAGGTGCATTTTTCCAACCAGGTGTTGTGAAATATGACAGATTTTAACAGCCTGCACAGATCTTCACCTGTTAAATTATGTAAATGAATACAAATAAGTAATTAACTTTTAAAAAAAAAAAAACCTCATGTCACCTCTGCTGCAGTTATCTGTGCATGGTGTTGAAAACATGATTCATTAGCCTTTGTGCTGCTCCGTGCTTAACTGTTAGCCAATAACACTTGGGTGATACACGCTCTGCGCTATGAGCACAGACTGTTCATTTCTCTTCCAGTCAGCTCCTCTGTTCTCTGCCGTAAATCTGCCACTGTGGAAAGTAACACAGTAGTACTGATGAATTGCAGCCACAGCAACCTGAACACACCCCCATCTATTGAGAGCACTACAGTGAAGTGCCTCCGCTTACATAACAAATGTCCAATCAGCCCCGGGCATTGCCCCGAGCCCCAGCCAGGTATGAGTGAGCTGGATAAATTGAAAAGGAAAGGCTAATAACTCAACAGCCCCGCCAAGACTTGGATGGATATTTCTCCATATGCTTGTTCTTATTCATTTCTCTCAGAGGTACAACAAGTGAGAGTAAAGGGCAGTGATTAATCATGAGTCTGCGTCAACTTTTTGCTTACGGATAAATTCTTTCTGGAGCTTAAATCCACCGTGTGGAAGCTGGAGGTTCTTGTTCACCTCCTGGAGTGACGGAGGGATGAGAGTGTAGCCTAAACGGATCTTTAAGGCCAGTTTAGGGAGCAGAGGTGCGGCCCCAGAGAGGACAATGTTACTCCATTAATTTCCAGGCTGAAATATCTTTAAAACCACTGTGGTAGAAATTACTGAGATGTATTTCTGTATTGTTAAGTCATCATTGTAACCTTGTAGGAAGATTCAGACTGTCCAGTGGGGAAGATGGTTGTCTCACTGTAAACTGCTCCAACTGGAATTTGTTATTCTGAGAGAAAAGACAAATATGACCTTGTTCTCATTGCTACAACAAGTACATAATGTTTCTGGTGTGGAGTCTTGTTCTTGGGCCCAGACTAAATACATTCAGGTAAAGAAATTGACCAGACGGTATTTCTGTATTCATCAAACAAGATGGATTGTGATGAAATTTTGCGCAGTCACTGTTGCTGTGATCTTCTTCAGTGATCCTCTCACTCTTCATCTATCATTTACCATCAGCCTCATCTGTGCTTTCTGTTCGGTGCTACTTCGCGCTGATGAAAACATTGGTCATGTTAAAGTGCGCCTGAGCTGAAGAAATTTTGCCATTCTTGTTCCCAACCTTAAATATGACATAAAATTTCCCAAGTGACCTTAAATTGACCTTTCTGTTTATATTATCTTCACTGTAATACCCTAATGAATGTAAAGTATCTGAAAACTTTACAGCTCACGTTTTAGGTCATATTTTGGCTAATAACTGCTCAGATTCGTTAATAGGACGACTGCAGGTGTTACAATCCCTGTAGATCAGCATTACTTTTGACTGAGGATGCTGAGACGATGGGTGGAAAGTTGATTGCCATAGGATGCTGTTTGGAGCACATTTTCAGTTGTGTTCCTCATTGTAGTTGAGTGTTTCAGCCTCTTACTCACAATACAGCCTCTGCTGTGGCAGGTGCACAAGAAACAACTTGAGAACTGTTAGATTTTCTTCACAGTAAGCATTAAAACCTGACAGAGCTGCTAGGTTGGCTGTGCTGTAGAATCTTAATCCTATTTCTACATAGACATTTTTTTGTTTTATTCTTTTTTTTCTTTTATTTTTTTGGCCTTTTTTTTTTTTGCAGAGGTTAGTTGAAGAGAGACAGGGAATGTAGGGGGAAAAGTGGAGACGGACATGCAGCAAATCATGCCATGGGTCTGACTCGATCCATTGCCACTGCATCGGGGACTTTAGCCTCTATACGTGGGCCACCTGCTTTACCAGTTGAGCTACTAGGCCCATAGGCATTTCTTTCTACATTTTTTTTTTTTGAAGGAGAAATGTGGAGTCTTCTTGACATTTGTAAAAAACAGTGTTCTCTGTTGGACAAACTAAATCTACAGAGCAATCTTGCATTCACAGTGGGCCTGCACAACTCACCTGAAGCAGTGATGTGGCTCTGGGAGCGTCTGATTGGCTTCCGTGGTCTGCTCAGGGCCATCAGCGCTGCCGTCTTAGGTGAGTGTTTCTCTACTTCCTGTTCCCCGGCTGACAGCGTCCTCACTCGCCCCTGTCCTCCTTCCTTTGCTCCTCCGGTCTCCCTTGGCCCTTCCCCTTTCCCACGTATGACCGTGTCCTTCAGTAGCATCGTTGCGCCTACAGTCCGGCTGGTTTCCGTGGTGACCAGCGGGTCAGGGTGTGACCCGTTCGGTGAAGGGCGGTCCCAGTAGTTTGGAGCTTGAGGGTCAGTCTGTATGGCAGAGTCAGCAGTTCGCTCAGCGCTGCTTGGACGTCGGGAGCGATCCTCTGTGGAGATGGCGACGTCTACCATCTCAGAACCAAAGATGGGAGGAAAAAGGACCTGGGAGAGACCACTGAGGGAGCTGAGAGGGGTGCTGGAGGACAATGAGGAGGCGGAGGAGTTGGAGTCTGAACCCTGTGAGGATGGTGCAGGGCCCCCATTGGCTACTGTAGAAATACAAATATGAGGACTGTTTAAAATATTTTTAGGAAAGTGCAATAGTTTATGAAGTTTTCCAGCTTCTCTATATGAGCTCAAACACACATACTGTACATGCAAGGTTGCACTGTAAATACATTTTGCACAGGAAGCTTAATTTCCCTATTTTACACAGCTTGATTTGTTTGGATAAAAACCCACCTGCCCTCATACCCCGATAATCCTGCTTCTGAGTGGCAGAACACGAACCAGGAGTTTTTCTGTTTCCTTTTTTTTCTTTTTTTGGTTTCTAATAAAACTACATAATGACTCAGATGTCAGGTCATGCTCTGTTCCAGACGACTGAGCTGCCTTTGAGTACACTGAATTAATCCCTGGCTGTGTTCTGAAGTACACATATCAAACAGAAAAACAAGGTTTAAGTCTTGTTACGAAATTGAATGACAGGGTTTTAGTAGCAAACAGAAAGGAAAATTAAAAATCACCAGATCCTTATTCTGTTTTATAATATTTTGTTTATTTAACTCTTGTCACACTGCTGTTCATTTCAATAGCTCTTAAAAACTCATTTTAAACATTGTCTGGGTCTTGCAAAACCAACACATTTTTGGAATAATTAACATACATTTGTCGAGCCAGCCATACTCTGCCACCATCTCCTTGTATGCGGGGTATCTTCCAGCCTCCTGTTAAAGTGAGAGAAAAGAACATGAAACAGCTAACATAAGTGTACTGAATGCTCAAAAAGTAAAATCTCTTATGTTTCCGTCATCACTAGCTGGGTAACTCAAGCTTTAAGACATTTTTTCTCCTTTATATTTTAAATACTGTAGGGTTTAGCTACTTGTGAGCCACAGACATTCACACTGTTGTCATCATTAGTTACAACCAGCTATGTGAGGCTCTGCTTGATAAATGGAAACATGCACATTTGTACAAAACACAAAATAGAGTCGAGGCTGAATGGAATATTTTTAGATAGTGTTGATGTGATGATGGTGCTAGATGAAAAGTTATGGATTATTAGTGTAACTCATCCTAAAGGGAACATAAATGTCTGTATAATATTGAATGCCAGTCCGATCACTAATCGTTGATATATGTCATGCAAAACAACTCGTGGTATACTCGTAGAACAAGAGGAAAGGGCAGAAAATCATGAAAGTCTTTAGGGCTCATCCTCTAGGCACCATGAAGGCACAAAATTAATGGAGATCCCTGCAATGAGCACTGCAATGTTTAAGTCAGGAACAAGTCAGACTAAGGTGGTGGACTCTCCAATAAACTGACATGCAATTATTTTTCTGTGTCAGAGAAACTCCCCCTACAGTCCAAAACCACTAAAAAGAGTTGTGATGGTTTACAAGGTTTGTAAAACGTTACTCTAGGCAATGTTTTTTCAAAGGAAGGAGCCATGTTCCATCAAGATTAGTGTACAATAGCCTCTCAAGTCTACTTTAAGGGATTGTCTCATCAATGCACAGCTTAAGGTCAAAGAGAAGTCACTCAAGGTTTAGTTCCACGAAAGCCTTAGATAGCCCAGTGTGAGGAAGTTTAATAACTAAAATTAATCCTTGATCCCCTATGTGTGTCTCTGATCCATAAATGGGTCTAATACAGGACAGAAGGAAGGCATAAAATTAGGCTTTCTGTTGATTATAACCTGATCCCAGACTGCCTTTGAATAATGAACGTCGTCCCTGGCTGTTTTTCACACGTGGAACCTGAGATCAGAGGAGTAAAATGAGCATGCAGCAATGTCAGGGAGCTAAGAGAGCGCACACACGCACACTCAGACACACTGCGCAACACACATACGGCCATTCATACACACATGCACACAACTCCTTTATCTAGAAATGACACAGGTTAAGTGGCGCGGCCTTGCACACATGCATGCATACAAAGACACACATAAGGAATTCAAGGGCTGTAAGCCAGCTGTCTGCTCTGCTGCAGGCTCAGTGAGAGGAGTTGGTGTTGTCTAACACGCTAACATTTATTATTGTGTCAGCACTCAAAGCTTCAATCAATTGTTGCGTTTAAACCTGAGGAAATGATTAACACTACACCGTGGACGCACAGGGGACAAAAGGAAGGCGTTTCTGAAATCAAACTTTTATGTGTAGTGACTGATTTTCTGGAGGGCAACAAACTGTAAAAACTACACCAGCATACTGTATTATCACATTATAGTTAGCTAACATGTTAGCAAATTGTTACTCATTTATATATCCAACATTTGAAGGAGTGTTTCTGTCCATAGGATGGATAGAATACCTATGTTTACTCTCCTTTTAGCTCTTTTTTGTTCTCCTCCAACCGCTGGGGGAAATGTAAGATTCTTTATCTGCCAGTTCCAGTCATTACATCTGTATGTGTGTGCTGTTTGATGCTGGGGAGCTTGTGTACAGACAGTTCAGCAGAACTTTGGCCAAAAACACAGATGATAAGAGTGGCTGGAGTGAACCAAAACACTGAAACTGCAGGTCACAAAGTGAAAACAAGGTCAAAACGCCCCGCAGAGATAGCGCCGACATCTGACACCTGATTAAAACTGTTGATTCATGCAGCTTTACAATCAGCCTCCAGTTTATCTGTTAAAGTGTCCCTTACCCTGATGGTCAACATGACATGAGTGTGGCTCTTCAGGACCTCAACTGCGTTGCTGTGGGTGATGTCATCAAAGCTCACCCCGTTGGCTGCCAGGATTTGATCGCCCATTTTGATGCCATGCTGCTCTGCAAGCCCGCCTGGGTCCAACCTGAAGAGAAGATGCAGAAAGACACACAAACACAGGAGACACAGATATGTACCAAATGTTAGGAATTCAAGACAAGTATGAATGAGCAAGCGCTACCCTGCATTTCATTTTGATATGAGTTATTTAGATGTATATTTTATATTTATGGTTAAATGAATTTGTGTTTGTCTCGTTCATTATTAGTTGTCTGTTGTGTTTCATGTTGTAGCACAAGCAGCCCACTTAATCATTTAATTGAAGCTCAGTTGCTTTGATCTGATACATAAAATTGCAAATGAGATTATGCTGTGATATTTAATTATTGTGATACCTCTACTTCTTTCTAGTTCAGGGACACTTCAGCATCACCCTGCTGTCCAAATGAGTTTACAAGAATTTAATCATTTTGTGCGTTATGCTTTTTTTTGTTCATACTTAGAGACATAAATTCCCAGTCCGAACTCTTTGCCTCCTCTGATGTTGAAGCCCAAACAGTAGTCATCTGACGTGGTGAAGAGATGAACAATTCTGCGTAGAGCGCTGTCTGAACTGGACTCCGACGGTGTACGACCATTTTCCTCCACCACCATCCGCCGGTGAATCAGATCCACCCTACACACACAAACACACACACATATAAGCGTAAAAGCACATACATAGATGAAAGCATTCACATACACTGTCTTTCCCTCCTTCACCGCTGACCACAGGCCTGTCAGTATTGCTTAATCAAATAGCCATAAAGGTCACAGCAGTAATCCATCCACTGCTGCCACATGAAACCAAGATACAGTATATCCCAAAAGAAAGATAACCAGTGTGGGCTACAGTCAAGTGACAAGATTACACAAAACAAGAGCCACGCAAAGGTCAGTGGTAGTAGTGACAAGGTTGTAGTCCTTACTTGACATAATAATGTATCCAGCAAAGAGTATTTAGTCATACTATTCAGTCAGTGTTGGGTTATGTTAAAATTGTTAAAATAACCATAGAGGCTAAATAGTGAAGTGTACATGTAGGATATGATATTTTCCTCACCATGTGGTCTTCTCCTTGGAGTAGCGGATGCCGGGGATCTTGCCCACCCGCCTCACCACCATCCTCAGCCTGTTGTTTCCTGTCAGGACCTTCACAGCGCTGCTCATGGTGATGCTCTCCAGGCTGACCCCGTTCACCTCCACCAGCTTATCGCCCACAGTCAGGCCAGCCTGCGCTGCAGACACAGGTGGAACTCAGCATGATAAACAAGAGCAAAATGTCACACGTAAACAGGGGACCACACACTCACATGTAAGCACACTGAAAAATAAGCTTGCCATCACCGCGACTAACCCACTGATGTAAAGTGATAAAGCACACACACACATTTCCTCCTAACCTGCAGAGCTGTCGTCCTCCACCTTGCTGACAAATATGCCGAGTCCGTGTTCAGAGCCCCCGCGGACGCTGAAACCCAGACGCCCATCTGGACTCTTATCTACTGTCACTGTGTGAATGTCTTCACTGTCATCCCCTCCTGCAAACACACAGAACACACTGACGTGCACTCGCCATAAATGTCTGCACAGTGTGGCAGCCAACTATCGACAAGGACTGTGACGCTAACAGGAAAATATGGCTTGAGGAACAACAGTGAGTCCTGCAACAGATGGTGGGGCCCCCATAGAGTCCTGATCTCATCATCATGGAGTCAGTCTGGGATCACATGAAGAGACACTGAGACAAACTAAATCTACAGAATAAGTGTCTCTCCAAGACACGTGGAAAAAACAGCCGAGTACCTAAAGAAGCCGTGAGCAATTAGTGCTGTTATTAAATGGGCACACTAATTGTATTGATTTTTTTCTTCTTTTTACTGAGCTTTGTGTGAAGTTGATGCATAATTACTTCTTGCAACACTATTTTAAAGGCATCCTCACTTTCCTTTTAGTGCCTTAAACTGTGTGGTATCTACTGTGGCTGCAGCTGATAGTTATTTATAGTGCTGTTTAATCCGTTGTGCATTTCCACAATTATTAAGTGAATTATTTCTAATCCAAAATGTCAGAAAACACTTACAATGTACATTATTAAGTGACCAGAGCCAGTAGTGACATCTTGTATTTGGTAGTTTGGTTTGATCGACAAAGAACAAACCCCCCAAATATTCAGTGAGCTATCACAGGTAACTTAGAACAGCAGCAAATTTTCACATTTTGTGAACTACAAGCGTTTTTAGTATTTTACCTTAAAGAAATGTAACAAGTATTTGGCTAATTAATTCTCTGCCACCTCTTGCATCGACAGTGTTTTGCATACAAACTGACTTGCTGTGAACTAGACCTGGACTAATGACCGACTGTCCTGAACGTGCCTCTGCTGCCAGTGCCACCGTGTGTGTTACTATGGTAACAGAAGACTATCATGGTGACCAGACCTCACCATCAACAGGAGCGTTGATGAGAATGACCCTGCCCATCGGCGAGGAGGACCTGCGTCTGTGGCGCTGCTGTTTCTTCAGCATGTAGCGTGTGGTGCTGTGGGAACCCCCGTTGTGGCCTCCGTTGTTGAAGTGGGGGTGCCCGCCTCCATTCGTCATGTCCCTCCAGGCAGGGGGCTGAAAGGAGTGAGCCATGGTATGTGCCTGGAAACTCTTCCCTCAGGCATCCAGGCAGGAGGATATCTGGGGTCGGCTGTCAGGATGGAGGCGTGCAGACTGCGGGTTTGAGGAAAAGCGGTGAAGGACAAGTACGGTGGAGAACTGGACTTTTTTTTGCACCTTCCAGTCCAAAGTGGATGATAAAATACTGGAGCTGGCCCCCACTGAAGCATCAACTGTACAAAGCTGCTGGTAACATCCCTGATCTCCCCTGAAATCAGTTTCCGACTGCAAATAAAGCTTAATAAAATGAAAAAATATATACAAAAACTCAACTAAACTGGAGTTAAACAGCTACAAAACCACACTACATTTACAAAAGATGGCAAAAAATAGTTCTCCATGGCTGGATTTCCAATTTTCTTATCCCAGGAGAGTATTTTTGTGAGCTAAAGAAGTTGATATCATCCACTAGTCTCCTTCGCAGCCATCCTCAAAGAGTCCATGGTGCCAGTTTTCTCCTGCTTCACCTGAGAGGCTGGACTTGTCTGCAGGGAAGTCAGCGGTGCATGGTGATTCCCCTTGGGTCATGTTTAATTAAATGGATATCTGCTGTGAGAAGAATATGCTCTGATGAGTAATGCATTCTCAGAAGTTGCAGGTAAGATAGAAACACGAGCTACTTTTGTCCCACTTATGACTAACAACCTGGGATCTTGAGCAGAATATACAATAGAGCAGAATATCTCTCTTTATCTGGTGTAAACAACAGCAACACTGTGCTGCTGTCATTGAACTCCAGTGGGTTCCTATTTAATCAGCACCATGGACAGCGACTAGGAGCTCTCACATAAACAAGAGGCCTAATTTAGACAGCAAATTATCTTCTATTCATCACCTCACTGACTAAACTTCTGGACTACTTGTTGACATAATTACAGTACTATAAATATCAGCAACATGTGCCACAGCAAGTACATCTAATTAGTCTAAACTTACTCCTAAACGGACACCTTGAGCTGTGAAATGTTGCTGTGAAACAACATGGTGACATTGTGTTTAGAATAAAGTGATCAGAGCAGCATTACCTTCACGCTGCGTCCTTGTTGTGCTGGATGAGCTCGGACAGGCGCGCACCGCTCCGCCTCACTGACGCATTAACGGACACCTCCGGAGTATTAGTGCCACCTCATTTGTTCTCCAGGTGACCATTATTGTCTTAAGAGCTGTAAGCCTTTTACATAAGCCCCCGCAGCTGTGCAGCCATTAGCGGCCGGACAAGTGATGATTAAGTGCACTAATTGCACAAACATTCAAAGTAAAACTCACTCGACTCTATCGCAGCTTGTCCTCAGGTAACTTATTAACGTGTTAATGAAGTCCGTATTTTTCGGTAAAAGCTATAGAAAAGTGAGGAGTGGATGGAAAAAACTGAGCTGTGGATCTTCCTGCTTGTGGAGCCTGAATTCACCACAGCAGTGAGGTGGGTAAACAACCCCACCCTGCGGCCGGCGTGGACACATCACCACATCTAGGCAGGTCTCTTCTATTAATAACATACTAATATACTAATATGTAGCAGTGGCAGTAGCTTTTATTTATTTATTTATTTATTTATTTATTTATTTATAATTTGGAGAAAGAGGCGATTTGAGACACTGAAAAGGAAAAAGAACAGTAGGGTTTGTTTTTTTTATGTGGAAGAGCTATTATTATTATTATTATTATTACTATTATTTTGTTATTGTTATTATTATTATTATTTTGTTATTGTTATTATTACTATTATTTTGTTATTAGCAGTAGTAGTAGTAGTTGTAGTTGTATTATTTCTTGAGTAAATCATTTACTATGTTTTGCATTCTTCCAAAAATTGTTTTTAAAAAAACTATATGGATTTTAATTTTTTTTTTTTTTTAAATTATCATATTTAAATATGATTTTTGTAGGAGCTTTGCGACATGTTTTTTTTTTTTTTTTGTATCTTGGTTTGGTTGATTAATAGAAATATTGTTAAATAGGATTAGGGCAGCAACTGACATGAGTTTCAATGCTAATTGGTCTGTTGATTATTTTCCTAATTGATCGATTATTTGTTTGCTCTATAAAATGTCAGAAAATTGTAAATAAAATAAAATAAAATAAAATGAAATAAAATAAAAATGGCAATCAGGGTTTCCCAAAGCCCAGGATGACACCCTTAAATGCCTTGTTTTGTCCACAATTCAGTTTGCTGTTGAAGACTAAAGAAACCAGAAAATATTCACATTGTATTATATTTTCGTCTTATTTTTATATTTTCTTATTATATTATATTTTCTTATTTAATTCAATTAATCATTGTCAAAATAGTGGGCAGTATACTTAATAGTCCACAACCAATCAGTTAATTGATTATCTGTTGCAGCTTTATAAAGGGTCTACTCCTAAATGACTGGCAAATTAATTATTATTATTATTTTTGACTTTTTTTTTTATTGGGGGTGGGAGGCAGATTCACCATAGTTATGAAGACAAGAACAACAAGAAAAATGAACACAATGTAAGAAAATTATTTAAAAATGGGTAAATAAATACACAAAATGTCATACAGAGTTCAGTTAATGGCAGCTGAGTTTTATTCTGTTACCTTTTTACATGAGTGATACATTTTGCATTCACATCGTTTTAAATACATACAATAGAAATTCTTGATCTGGGAAGTCTGCAGTCAAAGCAGCGAATTATTCGTCTAAGTCTTTATGCAAACTTCAGAAGTGGTTGGCAACTTTTTCAGATTCTTAGGAGTAAATAAAAACCCACGAGTCTCTCAGCTGACCAATCGTGAGTTGTGTGTGTCGCACGCCCAGAGGTTTCCAGCTACTCATGTCCTCCATGACGACACCGCCCCCCGGTGCTTCTCTGCACGGTGCTGCATTCAGGGGCATGCTCAGAAACTCTGTTTTCTGAAATTCGATTTTTATGTGACTGATTTGACCGTGTTTCCTCGATTTAAATATATATATGTAGGAAATCACAACAAGTAATGAACATTGCTGTTCGTTTGTTGGAGAAATAACACGAAACGACGTACATTTAGGACAACAGTTAATATATAACTGTGGATGTTACTTACTTTTCACGTTTTTCTTTAGTTACACATTATTAAATCAATCAGTTAAATCTTTGCTAGGCATGGGATCTCTGTTTTGCATTTCAGAGGCGTTAGATATGAGTTAGATTATTCATAATTTACCATTTACATTAGTTATCTACCAGTCAAATGCTATGATGGTGTATTTTACTATGCTTCCAGGGGTTCGTGAAGGCAGTACAGGTCCACCCGGTGGTGCTGTGATATTGAGAGGTCATACATTTTCAAATAACAGGAGAAATCAGAACAGGTACGTTTTACTGCTAACTGCATTAAGTTATTAAATTAATTAAAGTCACAACCAGACTCATTTAACATTTGCTTCGTCTCCATAAGTGTCCTTGCAGCGCTAACTGAAGTGCTAGCATAGTTGTTAGCATATAAACTAGCTGGCTAGCTGACCGGCTAACGTTAGTTCACCAAGTTGTTTGTTTTGGTGACACGAAAAGTCGGTTTATTAACCTGTCTGTCTTAACATTTGGTTTTGCATAACCTTCATTTTGTTTTATTGTCCTTTGTGACTATTCTCGTACTGTAGTGAGTTTCAGTGGTACTATCGGCTACCTCGCTAGCTTGTTGGCTAGATTGGTTAGCATGTTGCTGACAGAACACCGGCAGCGTGTCGTGACTTCCCCAGTCCCATCTGTCACTGTGTGTGTCACGCTATTGCTCTGATCAGCTAACTTGCAATGTGACACATGTTTATTTGCCTATTTCGCAAGTCACACGTTGTGACTGTCATGTCCGTTTCATGGCAGCAAAGCAGCAGTCACATCATGTTTATGTATCTGTGTTTAGCCATTTACCCAGCGGTTAACCTTGAATCAGCGGTATCAGTTGTTATCTTGCGCCTGTATGTCCTGTACGTATTAGCTTTATCTAATTGCAACCTGCAGATTATTGCAGTGGCGGTTATGACCTTGTTATGGCAAAGAAAAGCCAAGGTCTGTACATGGAGGTGCTTTTATTTATTTATGGCCTTGTTATGGCCTGTGTATTGGATGGGCTGTGCCGGTAAACACTGGGAACGCTGCAGAAATATGCACATACATTCTTGAAATAGTTTACTTTCTGCTGTGCACTAGTACATAGCTAAAGAGCTGACACTCCTAGCTGATATTTGAACAGGCAAAGAAAAGTAATGTACAAGTATTTTGATAATCAGTGAGTGTTATATCAAGTGAAAAATCCACATTTTTCCTTGCTCAAGCTGATCAAATGTGAGATTTGCTTGTGACAATAAACTGTTTATTGTTGGATTTTAAACCCTCCAGAAGAAGTCACTGTGGACACAGAGATTTACAGAAGCATTCGTCGCTTACTGAGGAGAATAACTGACAGAACAATCCATTGTGGAAAACATCACTAGTTTAATCCTCAGTAGTAGTTTATTTAACTTGTAAAACACTAATGATTGAGATCCATTTCTTTTATCTTGTACGCACAGCCGTAGCTGACACAAAGAGTTTTGTTAAACCAGCCCCAACCTGCTGTCAAAGAACCCACAAACACTGTCATCATTTATCAATCCGACAGCAGGAAGAACAAATAGAACATCTTATCTTGTATAAACTCTGTCATTTATATTTGAGAAAGCACTGAGAGGGTAAGTAAATATAGTCAAGTAGTCTACTTTGGGTTAGTTTCTCAAAGATGATTGTGTGTAGGTCTGTGTGAGGGGGGAGGTGTCCTCGCCTCAGTGTAGCTTTGCACTGCAGCAGAGCTTTTATTGGAGCAGAGATCAGGGCTTAACTGTGACGCCAAGGTTTTTAATCAGAATAATTTCACCTGTACTGCCGGGAGTCTGACCTTTATACTTGCATACGTTCATAGCCCAGGGTGCTGAAAACATTGCTCTCTGTCTGGTGATACCTGCAGTCTGGTATTCCTAAACTAGTATGATTCAAATAATATATTTGACATTTTTAGACTGTGTTTTGATTTTCTTTTGTATATAATTTTTTTTTGTTAAATTGCTTATAATCATGTAAGCTGTATTTCTTAAAGTAAAGTTTATTAACAGATTTTCTATGCCAAAATTCTGTTTATCTTTACAGTGTTAGTATGTAAAAATGACTGACAATGCCCAACCTGTCAAAGTATACTACTTAACTCTACATGTATGCTTGTTAATCCATCTGAGGTGACATTTAATTGACCCTGATGAATTGTTTCTCTGAAGTACTCCCAATGTTGCACACTTGTATCTGCATACAAATCCAGTCGAGATGTGTCTCAGTGTGCGATTACTAATTACAATTTTTGCTTCTGACCCAAGAAAGCCAAGATGTCTGGAGAACTGTCCCTTAACATAAACATCAAGGAGCCAAGATGGGACCAAGGCACATTCATGGGGCGCGCCAAGCACTTCTTCATGGTCACAGATCCCAGGAACGTCCTGCTGTCCTCTGAGACTCTGGAGGAGGCCCGAGTGATCATGGAGGACTACAGGTAGATGATCAAGATACTAGATTATGACAAATGATATGCAAATGTAGCATGAAGGGAAATCACCATTGCTGTGACAGAGTGATGATGTTAATGCAGCAACAATAAATCACATGTAGTGTATATAAATTGGTTAACATGTAAGTAAGAAAGCATCTCTTTTTTTCAAAATGCTCTTTTTTCTTTTAATCAAGATACCACATCCCTCTATTGTTGTGACTTTTTTAGAGCTGGAGTTGTGAAGCCTGGCCTGACGGAGGATGAGCTCTGGAGAGCAAAGTACGTCTACGACTCTGCCTTCCACCCCGACACTGGGGAGAAGATGTTTGTGATTGGTCGGATGTCTGCTCAGGTGCCAATGAACATGTCCATCACAGGCTGCATGCTCACCTTCTACAGGTACAGCTTCAATACACTGCATTCTAAGCAACATACTGAAAACCACTAAATTAAAATAAAGAAATACGAATGTGTAATCAGACAATATGATGAATGAATTTGATGCAGCTTCTGTGACTGTAAGGTCAGCTTTAGTACAGAATACAGAAATGAATAAAAATAGAAATTTTAATCCATGCAGGGTGAAAATCCTCTTAAAGAATAAAAAAAAATGTCAGTCTCGCTACTGAATACTGATAACTCACTGGGCTGTGATCGTTTCACAAGTCATTTGATAATTGTGCTTTAACAACAAATTGATAAGCAACAAAAAATAAGCTAATTCCATTTTACATTTGTTTTCTAATTTTTGTAATTATTTTAGACATCTATTTAAGGACAAACTAACCGATCACAGATTTTACAGGAAACAGAATTATTGTGTTTTAAAATGTATTGATTTATTTCAGTTTTTTTTTGCGTTACATATTTTGTCTGTAGTTATTAATTATTGAATGACACTTTCATTTATTTAAGATTCAACACCTTAGACCTCCATTCTTTGCATCATTATGGTTTTACTGCTGAGGACATATTTGACTAGTGACTGCAGAGTGCACAGCTGTCTACTACAGTATTGTTTTTGCCACTTGAGGGCACCAAAGATTGAAAACTCAAATTTCTCCCACAGTAGCTTTAAAATAGTAAAAATTGGCAGAATTAACAAACATGGATAAATTAACTGTCAAATGATCTATCAGATGAGACAACAAAAGGAAGACTTTCAAGACCTTCACTCATACTGAGTAATTAAAACACCACATCAGACAGAAGTTTTTTTGCCAGAATAATTATTTTGGCAATTAAAAAGGCAAAGTATCCAAAGCAGGTATTCAGTACATTTCTTTGTAACATCATCAAGGGCTGAGTATATTCTGTGTCGTATGCTGTGCAGACTGTAAACCCTTCTGAAACAAACGTTTGGCCTTGGGTAATATAAATAAACTTGTCGCTTGACTTAATTTAACTTGTCAAGCATAACCCAAATTAGAAGACTCACACAGATGTCTTGATCTTTCTGTTGTCCAAGTGAACTGTAATCAAAGCTCAACTGCTGGATTGACTGATGATGTAAATAATTGGTAGCTGCAGGCAGCACTGGTGTGAAATAAGTAATGAGAGAAACTTACTCTTTAAAGTGTCACTAAGCTTATTTTTTTTTTACTGCTGTGTAAATGAAGCCAAAAAAAAGCACTGTGAAATCTCACTTCCTCATACACAATGTTGTTTTTCCCCTTGTGTTTGCAGGACTACTCCAGCAGTGGTGTTCTGGCAGTGGGTTAACCAGTCCTTCAACGCCGTCGTCAACTACACCAACCGCAGTGGAGACGCCCCCATGACCGTGAAGTAGGAAGGACTTCTCACTTCCCTTCCACTCTAGATCATTCCTGTCCTTCCTCTAAACTAGTGTCTGTAAGGAGGCTGTGGGAGCTGCTGTCTTCTCCCTAACAGCGGTATTACGTTCCACTGTTAAGCATGTTCAGCGTCATGTCACCATGAACTCATGCTGACACAGATTGTATGCTCCCGGTTGATGTCAGGTCAACATACATTTGCATACTCGTTTCATTTTTGCCACAATGTGCATCCTCCTGATGTTGCAGAAATGCATCTAATGCATGCATTTATGAAGAACAGGAGGTTTGCCGTGACATGTAAATGCATATTTACGGATTTAGCATGAAATCAAGGTTAACTGTTACGGCATCTTCCGTTGTTTTATCATTATTTATGAATTAAGATGGTCTTGTTATTTACCATTACATATTTGTATATTTGACTGGTGCAGCTCAGCTTTGAAATGCTTCCGTTAAGTTTGTCTAGAAGACTCTCAACTGCAGTCTTCATGCGCTGTCGCATAAGTGAGATATTTTTAAAGTGTGAAATTCTGAAAAAGGAAGTGAATGCTTTAAGTATGATGTGCATCTATCGTGTTTGTCTCCTTGCAGCCAGCTCGGTGCGGCCTACATTAGTGCTACTACTGGTGCCGTAGTCACTGCCCTGGGGCTCAAGTCCTTAGCTTCGGTAAGACATGCGGATGTGGCTCATGTGAATAAAAAGATAAAGAAAACAAATAACTTAGCTGCAGACACGCTGAACTGAGATTTGACACCAATCACCTGAATGTGTCTCTGATTCTCGTGCGTCTTTCCAGCGTCTCCCACCAATCGTCAGCCGGTTTGTCCCTTTTGCTGCTGTTGCCGCTGCCAACTGTATCAACATTCCCTTCATGAGACAGAGGTGGGAATACTAAAATATCGATCACTGACCTCTACCTTGTTCACTCAAGAGCTTGTATGTATTGTGGCAGCTGCTACAACTGCTTTACATGACTCTTGTTCTTCCTTCTGCCAGGGAATTGAAGTACGGTATCCCTGTGACAGATGAGAACGACAACAGGTTAGGAGAGTCTGCCAGTGCTGCCAAACAGGCCATCGTGCAGGTGGTGGTGTCCAGGATCGGCATGGCAGTGCCTGCGATGGGTAACGCCAACCTTGTTGTTTTATTAAGGCAGCTTTAATCATTATTTTAAAGCTATCATGTGTGACAGTGATAGTGTGAGAAGTGACAGCATAGTGACGAAGCTATGCAAGTTGAAGCTCATAATTTTGCTGTCCTGTCTGTACGTTTACTGTCTTCCCACTGGTATCACTGTTTTGTTTTTATCTTCAGTAAGCAGCATTTTTTAGTTAAAAGAAAAAAGCTCTAAAATCCCAGAATGTGACTGCATGCTCTCTAAGCTTGTGCCTTGTTAAAAGTGATTTGTAAATATTGCTAGGTAAGAACTCGTAAGATTGCCTTTGTAAGTGATTTAATTCAGACAAGAAACCCACACATTCAGATGCAGTGAGATTACTGGAAAGAAGTGCCTGAATGCGGTTTCATATTAAAAAAAAAAAAACTAATTCAGAGTGTTGAAGCGTGAAAGATTAAATTTCTCACCCTGAAATCCGCAACTTCTAACCTCCAAAGTGTCAAATTGTCTTTTTTGTATTGTTCACTCATGTAACAGGAGACCTCACCTGATCTGCTTTTATTTTTATTTTTTTCCCCAGCCATTCCCCCTGTAATAATGAATGCTCTGGAGAAAAGGGCTTTCATGAAGGTAAGCAGACTGCATTCATGAATGCCGTGCTGTTGTTTTTGCAGTCAGTGGATTTACTGAGCGTGCTGGTGTTTTGTGAAGCCGAAGAGTGACGCCACATTCCGCATGTTACGCATACATTGAATTCTTATGTCTTCTTTTATTTTTGCTTCCCTGTAGCGGTTTCCAATTCTAAACGCTCCTGTCCAGGTGGGGCTCGTCGGCCTGTGGTGAGTGATGTGCGCTTGTTATCTTTGAGAACATGTTTGAATAGAATTATATACATATTATGTACAGAACATCTCTTTATCTCTTGCTTTCAGCCTGGTGTTTGCAACTCCTCTTTGCTGCGCCCTGTTCCCTCAGAAAAGGTACCGACAGCAACTTTCACCTCACGTATCCACTGTGCAATCAAGTGTTATATAACGTGTGGTTTTTAATCATGGTCAACCATCTCTTTGCAGCTCTATGAGTGTGAGCGGGCTGGAACCAGATCTGCAGGAGAGGATACGACAGACCAGTCCTCACACCACCACCGTCTACTTCAACAAGGGCCTGTAGGAGCCGACAACTCATCTCCACTCATATGCACAAGACAAGCAGACACTCACACATACAACGCACACACTCACACATCTGTTGTACTCTGGGCACAAATGGGAGTACAAAACAAAATTTATTTATGCATATTTTGTTTTGTTTGTGGGTATTGCTACATTTTTTTTTTAAAAATTTGACTGCATGGAGGTGCTCCAAATCTAACAGTGGAAGGTTACTATTATATGAAAAAGAAGATTCATTGAAAGGAAAATGAAACACTTTGAGAAGGAAGATTGCTGACAGTTCTCTGTGTACATAGATGACACTCCTTAGGAAAGGAAAATTGACTTCTTTTTTTTATTTTTTGTTATTATCGTGTCGTGGTGTGTTTTGTCTTCCACCGCTCAAAGCTGCATATTGGGTGGCAGTTCATGAAGTTACTGATTTGTATTTGACTCACCAATATTTCGTTACATTCAGGTTTTACGTCCTGATAAATTACTTGTAATTCCAGTTTAAAACTAAGGCTCGTGCTTGTAAGTCGTGCGTGTAATTGCTTTTGAATGTAACTTATTTGCCTTGTGTCGCCGCTCTTTATAATTCTAGCTCAGTCATTGTCACATTATTCTTCAAAAGTGACATAGAAAAAAAACTTCACACTGAATATGGTAGATTAAATTGTTGCCCCCAATTCCTTTAATCCACTGTGTAGTTGCGCCAAAAAGAAAAGTAGCTCTAAATAGTGCGACCCTTGATGAATTTTCTTCTGTTTCGTTGTGTTTTTTGCCTCTTGTTAACCAGTGCTGCTTTTTACTCTCTTCCACTCTCCTTTAAGTGTACTTATGCCCCTTCGTATTGTCAGACCAGCTAATCAGGTGCTAGATAAATATATAGAGAAAAAATTAAACGGCAAAAGCTTACAAAGCACAGCCGTAAGTGCATGAGTGAGAGGGGTTTTTATCAACATGAATACGTACTGTGGCAGCCTGTTTTTCAAGAATTTATTTTTTTTAGTTGTTTTAGGCGATAGTGCTTGTTTGGTGGTGGTGTCTGGTGGAGAGGAATATGCTATGTTGTCTGTACATTTTATCTCTAAGATGAAGGAGGAAGAAGACGATTTTCCTTCCAAGTTTGACCGTTTTTATGTTTAAATGCAGTGCAGACGATGATATTTTGTCGTTATCGTGGTAAAACTTGAAACCTGAAAAATTGCAAGCTAAAAGAAATCTGAACTGATATCAAGGTAACACTGCCTATTTTCCGTTCTGGAAAGCTGGGAAATGCAGGGTTTTTATTCGAACTAGCTGCCTGCACAATTGCGCTAGAGCCATTGATGTCCTGTTGTACCAAATGAAAGTAGTAAATGTTGTGTGACAAAGTCATAATACTAACTGCCTATGTGTAGGTCAGGGGAGCAGGCAATTGTGTGCACAGTGTTTGGTGTTGCTTTGTTGAAGTGGACAGATTGGCTGCGTTTGAGCGTCTCTGATCAAAATCATTCACATTGATGACCAAGCTCTCCAAACACGCAACTGTCCAGTGTGGTTGTGATAGTGATGTTGGTGTAAGTTAAGAAATAGTTGAATTTATCACAGTCATCTGTCTGGATTATAAAAATAAGTATATTTTTCTTGGATATATTTCTATATACAGTATATATATATATGTATAGGATGTAAACTATATGAAGCACATATGCATGAGGGATTGAGAGATTTTAAATGACACGTACGCCTCTGTTAGTGAATCCACCAGATGGCCCCACATATGCACTGGAAAACAATGTCTGCTGCTCATATTGCAGGAGTACAGAGTGTAATTTATTGCAAATGAGTAAGTGCACCTCTTGCTTTAGGGCTAATAAGTCCTCAGATTAGGGGAGTGTTCCTCTCGTCGGACTTATCTCGAAACAGAGTCACAAATTTACCAACGACGATTCGATGTTTGTGTGAAGTGGTGTTTTTAACGTATGTTGCTCAAAACGCGTAACCCACAGTAGGATTGTATAGACCATGTTTATGTTCAAATTCATCTCCATCAAGTCACTAGAGTTTTTGTTGGGCAAGTCTGTTGCTGCACAATCATGCATTTAAAGCAAAACGATTGTGGATGTTAAGGGACTGTAGCAACTGCACAACTATTGCATTTTTTATAAATGAACTTCTGTACAAGCAGAAATACAAAATGATTGTGGTTATGTGTGATCCTAAAATGTTGCAGTTTCATTCAAGATTGCTTTTGGAAAATGTTGCCACCTGAAATTCACCAGAATGTGGATGTCCTGTTCCTTTTTAACATATCTTGTTTTAGAACGAAACACTTTTTTTTTCATCTGCTTGCTTACACTCCATTGTTACTCATATTTTTGAAGAAACGTTTAAAGAGCCCATATTATGCTCTTTGGATTTTTCTCTTTTCTTTAGTGTGCTGTTGCTTTTTTGTGCGCTGAAAAGGTCTGTAAACTTACACAACCGCCAAAGGAAGTTATTCTCTCACATAGGAAACACTGCTCCTTACCTGTCTGAAACACCTTGTTTGAAGTATAGTTGTTTCTCTGTTACTTATCTACATCATCATGTAACACATTGGCATAACGCCTGTGTAGCTGCTAGTTTAGGATGCTCTCAAACAATGTGCAGCCTGCCTATACTCAAATCTGAACGTAGCATCAACATAGTACCACGTTTCAGCCTTTAGTCGGGCCAGCTGACCAATCAGAGCAGACTGGACTTTTGGGAGGGAATCCTTAAAGAGATGGAAGCATAAACAGAGCATTTCAGACACATGGTGAGGAGAGGTGCTGCTGCAATATACAGTAGGAAAAAAAGTTTTTGAATGCTAAAATATGTAAACATACACTAGTAGACTCCTAAAATGAAAAAAAAAACCACTCCTGTAGGTTTGCATAATATGGGTTCTTTAACTCCCTAATGTCCCATCCATGTAAACAGACAGCCGTTACTGTTTATGTCCCTGCCTACAGGTGCTTGAATCAAACACGACTCCTGCTTGCATGCACTGCAGGACAGTGTCACAGATTCGGCATCATTTCTGTATTCTGATGTTTGAAGTGCTTGCAGCTGTGCTACAGTGCTGATGGTAGTTACTGTGTGTTCTGTTTAAGGTTTGCTGAAGATAAAACTGCACTATATAACCTTTGCCGTGCTGCTGTAGGAGCTAGCTAATTTTGTGTTGCTATTTATAAAGAAGGGTTTTCAAGTATACATTGAAGATTGTGATTCTTTGTCGTGCTGGATGATGTTGATTAAATCACAGTCATGCGGCTGCTAATTCATAATTCATTCATGGTCTGGCAGCTTTCAGTGCTCATAATCAGGTAGCTTAGTTTCTGCTTCTTTTTTTTGTTTTTCCTTTGTGTTTTTCTACTCTTGGAGTTATGGTGTGGAAATGTCAAGAACAAAACTGAAGGGTTTGATTCAGCATTCAAATACATTTGTAAACTTGCATCTCAGCTCGTGACTGGACTGTACCACCGTAACATGTCGCACCCATAGATCTAGCCAAAGATGAGACGGGTATGAATCGTGCGGGATTAAGAAGATGAAGGAAGTGTGTAGCTTTTAAAGTTTTTGTTTCAGCTTTAGCATGTGGACCTTTTTGCCAGACTTTAATCATGGAAGAACATATTTTTTTTTACAAAGTGGTCCTCAACTATGTCAGTGCAACACTCAACAGCACCAAATTTTTTAAAGAATGTCACAAAGAATTATAAATACAAAGTTATGACATTGATATAAATAATTCCCAAGACACTTTTTATGTGAAGTCATATTTTTTTGCCATGGATTTTATTCACGTTACACTAAAATGTCATAAGCACACTTGTTGAGAACCTTCTCATTTACAACTTGAGTTGTGTATGCCATAAACATTTTACATCTTTGCATACTGAAGGTACAAATGTAAAGACAATCTATGTTATTGTTACACTCCATGAATGTTTTGGTTGTTTCATGTACATACAACTTCCATACGTGTAGACCTGTCAGTATTGGTGCACAGTGTGTTCTCCCTCTGTTTTGTATTGTTTTGAAATATATTTCCGTGATGTGAAATGTATTCAACTCAGAGCAATAGAATAAAATGTATCCAAACCGGTCTGTGTAATGCAGTATTGTCAATCATTGTGCATTATTGATGCATTTAAAATATATTTTAGCTGTGCTGCGGGTAAACTTAATAGAATATTATAGTAGAGTAGCCTTAGACTGATTTCTACATGTGACTTTTTTTTTAAAAGATGGCTCAGGATAATAGTTAACAGGATGAGTGATTTAAACATGATTACTGTTGAATTTTCTTTGCTTTAAGCTTTAAACAGACAATGAGCCTTTTTTGTTTGCCATCCTATGTTGCTATTCCTGTTGCTGTAATAAATTTGGACGGACTAATTTACAAGAAAAGTTTTGGTTCTAGTAAGTAGTGTTTTTGCTCATTTTAGATGTTCTACACTAGAAAGTACGCAGGATTTGATGAAGAAGCTGCTGCATTGTTAATCAAACTAAAAGGCAAATTGAATGAATGAATAGGTCTGATACACTAAGACAGACTAATGCCAAAATAGCAAAGATTTCTAAAAGCTTTACACTTTTTTGGTAAAATTTTTTCACCAACATCATCTACTGTCATCTGATACAACTGTGAAACACACAAGGAATAACACCCTAAAAGTTTGTGTTCCATGATTTTAATAGGTGACACAGGTTAACTGAGACACACGTAAATGAATCTACATTTAATAAGTCTGGTTATTACACATTTATTCACACATGCTGGTCAATCAGGTACAGGAACATGCTGAAGTTTAAGAGCAGTTTGTCTTAAAAACACGCACACAAACTGGTTGTTTTGCATCTATAATGTCCTATTATGAACAAGTTTTGCCACAAGATACAGATTAAATAAAAACATTAAAGCCGCAAGCGGCGATGGACG